GAAAAAGCTAGCAAACCTCGTTCGGACTTGGATTTCTTTTGAGAAGTTTGAGGAGCAGCTTTTTTATTTTTTTTATCTTTGTTGGGCAATGGCGGAAAATTCTTGCTGCATCCAGGGATTGGATCAGCAGGAGCCTTCGGTTTTGTTTTTTCATCCCCATTACCCTGGGAATTTGGCAATCTTCTGGAGGTGATTTTAGTTTTCTTACGGCGCACTTTCGGGGAGGGGCATTTTCTTTTTGAGGATCCGTCCATTTTTGAAGGTGCGTGTACCACCGTAGAATCACCTTCATCCGATGAGTCAGAGTCCGATTCTTCAGCTGACAAAATCGAAAATTGGTTTGCATCTTGGACGGCTGATGCAGCCTTCACCATTTGCGCATAAGTCTGCTTGGAGCGTCCAGAGATTGAACGCTGCACTTTATCGGAGTGCTGCTTGTACATCGGGCACTCCTGCAAGGGGTGAGGATTCTCGCCACAGTAAGCGCATTTTACTGATTCTTTGTGGCAAGAATCCTCTTTGTGGTTTTCACCACATTTGCCACAACGAGTTTTGTTGCCGCAATGGCTGGCCGAGTGTCCCAGCCTTTTGCAGTTGGTACAATTATATACCCTCTGTACAAACAGCCGCACCGGAAAAAAAGCACCATCAATTTTAACAAAGTTTGGGAGAACTGAACCTGCGAAAGTCACCCGGAACGAGTCTGAATGTTTATAAACTTTTTTACCGTCTAGCAAAGATGCTGAATGCAGTTGCCTTACATCCAGTATCTTCACTAGCGCGGTAGCGAATGTCGAGTTTTTAAAAGTTCCCGAGGCATGTTTCAAGTCCTCGACAGTCAGACTCGCGTCGGAGACCACGCCTTCTATCTCCACATCTCGAGAAGGGATGTAGATGTTGTACTCAACACTAAAAAGCTCGTGTTCAGCAATTTTATTTGCCACATCATAAGTCGGTGCTTCTACACGCAGTTTGTTGAATCTTTCTTTGTGTACCGAGATTCCCGGATACTTACGCAGCAAATCTCTCGTAATGTCGAGAGTTTTCAAAGGTTTATTTTTGGGCCGAAAAAAGACAACCCATGGTCCTTTCGAAGACGGTTCATAGTATCTGGTTCGCGTAACGTAGGCATCGGAAGATGCCATAAGTGTTGCGCAAAAGCGGTGCGCAACCACTTAAGAAGGAAAAAAAAAATTAAAACCTTCACTAATTAATTAATTTTAATTACTAGTAATTAAATTTTTTGCCCGACGTACGAACAAATCAAAAAGAAAAAAAAAATCGAAAAAAAAAAAAAAAAAAAAACTTATATCTACTTGCAAAAAGTTGTCTCACTATGACCCATACTCCCCTACCAGGGGTGAGAGACAGAGTCACGCGCCACGAGGCAAAATTAAACTACAATAGGGAGGCAATGGACTTGCAAAATGTATTGTCTAATACTTATGCCGGTTGTAAACAACCTATCAGCCGGTGCAGCTAGATCGTCCGTTTGCTGCTGCTGGTGGTGATGGTTGGTGTTGGTGGGTCGGCACGATGATGATACGATGAAATGATGGGCTCGCCGTTACCTCCGGTTATGGATTACCGGGATGGGTTAAAGATGGATGGCAACTCCAAGGGACTCGGCCCATGGAATTCCACTTCCTCTGTTGCACACTGGTCACTTGGGGCACCCAATGGGAGGTGAAAAAAACCGCTCGGGCGGAAAAAAACACCGAAAAAACTAGATGCCGCGTGACTGAGACCGGGACGTTGTTAACCGACTGAGTGCTCAACTAGGAATGTTCTGATAGAATTTACCGGTGATTAAAATAAAAAAATAACATTATTTTAAAAATTCCATTTTTCGATGATACATTAGAAAAAAAAACCTGATCAAATGATCAGATATCTTTCAGAAATTGTTCCTGAATATCCCTGGAACACTATCTGATTGGTCATGACCATCAAAAACTTTGAAATTCGTTAAGTTTGTCCCACTGCATAGATTGACGTGTTCCGCAAGGAAGTCTGTTTGGCCCTTTGCTTTACAGCATCTACACTACCGACATTCCTTCCTTTGGAGGCGGTTGCGTGTTCTTCCTGTTCGCAGATGATGCCGCAATAGCCGTCAAGAGTAGGATGCCTCGCGAAATAACAAACAAGCTCCAACGATGCCTTGACGCCTTGACGCCTTTACTGATTACACATGGAAATTCAAAATTAAGGCCTCCAAAACTCAAACAATCATGTTCCTCCATCGGCAATCACCCAAACTAAAACCGGCTCCCTCTTGTACTGTAATCATGGATGGCACAAGGGTTGAGTGGTCCGCCGAAGTAAGCTATTTCGGGATGTTGTTTGTCGAAAAGCTTCTATTCTGCTCGCACGTAGAGAAAACTGTAGTCAAGCGTTCTGCTTTGGTTAGGTATCTGTATCCGCTGATTTGTCGCATATCCCGCCTCTTAAGGGTGAACAAACTGGCTCTACAAACAAATCATAGCACCTGCGATCCTCTACGTAGCTTCGGTGCGGGAATCATGTGCACAGATTCACAGGAACAAAACCCAGGTCGCTCAGAATAGAGTGCTGAGAATGGTACTTGATCGTCCTTTCGATACAAGAATGCCCGATCTCCAGCTAGAGGCGAACGTTCCTAAATTAGATTTCAAAATTGCTGACATTAAGACTAGGTTTGTGCAGAAATGCAATACATCAGAACATGCCTTGATAAGCAATTTGTCTATAGTAAGTTAGGTGTAGTTGTAAATAGTAGTTATAAGTCTTTTTTTCCAATTTAAAATAAACCAATCCCACCAAGGTGGTCATTCTCTAAAACAGGCCTGATAGGACTAGGAACTTTAAAAAATAATTAAAAAATTTAAATGAACTAAAGTTGAAAAGACGTAACATGTAAACATGTAACCACACAAATACAAGAATGAAAGAGCATTTAAAGCTTAAAATCCACTCTACCCAGACAGGACCAAACTGGTACCAAACTGGTACCAAACTGGTACCAAACTGAAGGGAACTTACCATTGCTCACTCCCACTATGGACACAGCTAAGTGTTTTCGAAACAGTGAGTCTAACAGAAGTGGCGACAATCTGCGTCCAGAATCGTCCCACGGGTCTTCAATTGCAACGATTGTTATACATGTATATATGGATATAACGTAACTGTCACTTTTGACTTCCAACGTCAATATCTCGCTAAAAACAATTGAATGATACAAATTAATATTACCAATAAATGGGGAATTATCTCAGCTGTCCGATTGTGATATTACTTTGCTTTTTTGAATGATAAGCGGGAAATCGACGATGGAAGTCAAAAGTGACAATTACGTTATATCGAAGTATACTTGTACTGACATGCAGGTGTAGAAAACCTGTTTAAAATATTGAATTGCCAAGGCAGGAACAATGCGAAAACTTTCAAATATTTCTGTAGTAGCTGGAGCCAGGGCGTCACAATATCAGCTTTAATCGACCAAATCGATGCGACGAAGAGACTGCTGGCTTTCTTTTTCTGTTAAAGTCGAACAGCTTCGCAGCATTCTAGAACCTCAGTCGGCGTGCACAAACAAATGTTCAATCGCTTGTCTCTCTTGCTCCCGTCGCTCCATTTGTCTTCCTTTTAAGCTTCGGTAAATCGGATGAGCGAAAGAGCGCTCAACTTTGATAGTTTTCTCTTTCATGAAACACATCAACAGAGGTTTCATGACGTATATGACGGAAAATGAAATTACACATTTAAAGCATTTCTCACGTGAAAACACTTGAAGATTACACGTAATATGTTTTATTTATCTTCCATCCACATATTTATCTAAAAAAAATTAACGGAAACGGGACATAACGCATTTTAAACAAATTGAAAGAGCGGTGATAGAGTGTTCGTGAAAGGGGATTGAAAGCCATAATGAGGTTTCGTTTAACTAGAAAATCGACATTACTTACATTGAAAGCGATGAGCAAAGTAACGACGAGAAGATCCACAGCCAGCGTTTAATTCTAAGCGTGCTTCTTTTTCATTATCATTTCTTGCTGGTAGTCTAGCTAGGCGTTAGAGAAATGAAGCGTTGAACACGTTTGTATGAGAGAAACCAAACTCGAGTTCATTTTAGAGCTTCGAAAATGTAGAGCCCTGGCTGGAGCACCTAGGTTAAAATGAAATGTAAGGTATTTTGAATGAAGATGGTTGAATACAAAAGAATATCATCATTCCATCTAATATTAAAAAAAAAAAGACGTTGAACGTTGAACATGAATTTCTAAAACTCATAAAATTTCTGGCCCAGTCTAGAAGAGAGTGGGAGATTCCACCGATCTTAAAAAAAAGCACATTCTTCGTGCCTTCGTTCTTTTCCCTCCCCATTCGGGAAGTGCGTTTAGTAGTTTATTCGGTCGATGGAAAGGGTGGCAAGGGGTTGAGGCCGATGCCGGTCGTTGGCGATCGAAAAACAAAAACAAACGCGTCGCCATCACCGTTGTCGCCACCGCCCTGCCGGCCGCCGCTGTCGTCATCGTCGATAGTAGCAGCATCCGTGTATACGATCGAGATGCGATTTTTCGGATTTCTTCTTCTTACTATCGGCAGCTGATCGTCATCGTCAGCAACGGCGGTGGATCTTGTGCGAGAGTGGACTCCTTTTTCACCAAAGTTTAAATAAGAGCGCCTGCGGATACCAAGCGCATAGTCGTTAACTGTCAGGCAACGTGCACGGGACATTTGTTTGAAATATCGAATAAAAGCGAAGAAATTGGATCGAGCCACCGAATAGGAGAAATCGATCGAATTGCTCCACTTGGTAAAGTTTTAATAGTGATCCGGAAAACTGGCAAAGTGTTTTCAACCAGAACGAGAACGGAGCGATTGTTCTGATCTGCTAGAGAGTTGAATGCAGTAGCAGCATACCAGACAGGAACGCGCAGAGACAATTGGAAGGAGTGAGGAACTACTAGAAGTGCTTGGCAAAAAAAAAATCGCTGACCGATTTGCTAAAAGTGAATTGAACTTTGAGTGATTCTAGTCTAAAGCATTGTGATTTGTAGCTTATTTAATTTTGAGGAGGATACTCGTGAAGCAACAGCACAATGAATCGTTTCGTTGCAGTGGTAAGTTTTTTTTTTGGAAAATGTTGTAGACTTCGATGTTAAAGTTATAATAATCATAGAGCAAGCATTCACTTGAATTAGGAGAAGTTGTTGTCAGCTTACGTCCATAGGTCGCGAGAAACATGACATTTTGTTTTGTTTTATCTAATCAAATAATTCGAGAAATGTTCAAACGACGCTTGCACATATCGCATCGTCAGATCACTCACAAATCCCTTTGTGACGTTTTAATAAAACTTCTACAGTGCTCGTAGAACTATCTATGTTTGCCCTAGTTTCACATTGCTCATTTTACAGAGGCCGATCAGTTATCCATTTATGGAATACATTTTTTATGCAATTTGACTTTTTCAATTGGAAGTGGACACCTGAGTCAATAGACACATGTCCAGTACAGTAGGGTACGATGCATTCACGACAAAAAATGATTGCATCAACAGGAATAGTGTGTAGGCTGTGCAAAGTCCATGATGACCATTAATTCCGAAAAAAAATCAGAGCTGCCTTTTCCATGCTCATATGTGCATGAATGATTGCTTTCAGGCAATACAGAAATTTGAATTTGAAATTCCAATGGCACGCTGAAGAGAAGAATTTTATAATTTACAGAATTTGATTTCTGATGAAATTGACTGGTAGCATGAGATGCAGATGCGATTGATCGAATTGTGCAACTCTGAATCGTTGAAATGACGATATAATTGTGCCGTTGTCGACAAAATGCGTCCATTGATCATTAGCATAATTGAAAAAAAAAACATACATTAATCTCCATTGATTTCTTATTTAACTACAAATTCAGTCGGCTGATTTACCATAATTGCAGTCTGTCGTGATGTTCGTTGATGAAAACTGATATAATTAATAACATAAAGAACTGCTGTAGATAGTTCAGCTTGATGTAGAAACAAGTAATTATTGCTATTTTTTAAATTTGTTTGGGCCGAAAAGAAAGTAGATCTTTTATTGTAGTTCTTAACTTTTCAACAGAGCACATGCTGTAAAACTAGCCTCTAGCGTCTTTTTGATATTGTCAGAAATTTGAACTTAACTATGTCGTCTGAAATGTTCATGCTCATCCTAGATTGAGAAACACAGAACATGCGTCTAATTTTTACCTGTAAATCTTCTGTTTTCACATATGATCTAATCCACGTTGTCTATGGAAGAAATCTTATTTACAAAAAATAAGCATCGCTGAAAAACCAACCAACAAAATCATAGGGTCACCCCTTTTACATGAGATAAGTATGGAAGTGTTCTATCGGGAGGTCTGGAACAATTTTTATTTTTTCGTTATTTCCAGTGTAAATCACGTCCAAAAATTAACTCTCGACCATTGAAGCCTTGAAAAAATACATGGAAAAATTACCCCCGATAGAAAATTTGGAAACTAGCTTTAAACGAAAGAGGGTCACCGAAAATTTTGTTTGGTGGGTGTTTCAGCGATTCTGATTTTTTTTTTATAATAATGTTATCCTATCAGGGCACCGTGAATAAAAATAGAGTAGAAAGTTCTTATGACGAGTTTTTGAAGTGGGATTAGTAATGTCCTGTTAATTCTGCTGATGTTAACCACTCAGTTAGAGTGGTGCTTGAGTACCTGCATCTGAGGAAAGCTACAAGAAGTGGACACAATAAGCGCATCAATCAAAAGATAAACAATTTTAACGGAATTAAATGGAAACTAGTCGTAAACTAATTTAGCCATTTTAGAACTAAGATGATCAGAATTACTTATTAGAAGTAAATATTTTAATAAATTTTCCAGTCTTGCTACCTTCCTTTCTTGAGATCCTGAAGATTCTGGAGGTGGTTCAAATTCCGTGTACTCGGAACCTTTTTTTTATCTCTTGAAACGTATTCCAGAAATATTATATGAGGTGGTTAAAAGGAAAGGGGTGTAAGTGACGTTGATCGATTTTCTTCATCGACTTTCTCTTACGTTAATATTTCAGCTGCAAACACATTCCTTGATTCGTGTGTCATTTATCCAACTATGTGGCAGAAATAGCGCAAAATCTCTTTATAAAGCTGTGGCTATCAAAAGAGAAAGATGATGAAGAGAATCGATCAAAGCCACTTACACTCTTTTCCTTCTAACCCCCTCATATGTTATTTATATGTAATTTTAAAAGTTGACCATCATATACAAATTCTGCTCTAGGAATTCATTTCCAGAACGGGGACAATCAGAAAACATAGACGTAGTGGAGGGTATCGAAAATTGCCCCATCATAGGCGCTGTCAGATGATTTTCAAGCTTATCGGTATCAAATGTTTAAAAAAATCGGTATTTATTGGTATTTACTATTTGTACAGTTCCAGGCCAAATAGGATAAAAAATAAAAAATGCTCGACCTTCTCCGATTACGATGAAACTTGTGTGTTAAGGGCAGTCATCCACATTTTTGCAAAAAATCGGCCATTGTGCACCTTGTATTTTTTTTTCCAAAATGGCAACTTTGACATTTTTGAAAAAATCGTAGCACAAAAACTTCACTTCTGATCGAAACGACGTCTGAGGCAAATTTGTTTTTGAAAAGTGAAGTCTTTCTGTGAAACATACTTACGGTAATTTTTTTTCAATGATTTTGAGGAAAAATTAAAAAAAAAGTGATAGAAACTGAAATAGGGTAAATGTTGGCTTCGGCACCCATTGACTGTTTTCGGCAACCAAAATTTAAACGTTAATTTCACTATGTTTTCCCATCAACGCACTTCCCTGAATGTGTAAAAACGATTGTTTAGCCTTTCAGCTTCAATCTGATTATATTTGAACGATCGAGCAATCCAGTAATGCTAAATTTTTCTTCAAATAAAGCATACGCACTACAAAATGGGGTTGATTTCGAGTTGCCGATAATAGAACAGCTGGTTAACACGCAGTTCTAATGGGAAGGTTGCCGAAGAAAAAGAGGCTGCCGACAATAGTCACACTCACCTGAGAAGTTTGGAGCGTTGTAAAAACGCTTTCAAAACGTTTTGAAAAATTCTGTCGATTGGAATGGATAGAAAAGCAAGCAGCAGATGAATGTAAACAAACAGACACATCATATATGTGCGTGACGTGGAGAAAATGCTAGTAGAAGTGCAGACGCTGCTTAGATTGACGAGAATACGTAAATTACCCTATCTGAATTTATCATTTATTTTTTAAACAAAGCTTATGAAAAATTAACACTTTTAAAGTAATAAAAATAGCTGTGCCCAGGGTGTAGTGGAAAGCATGACTGCCTCTCACTCCGCAGTGGCGCATAGGACTTATTAAAATGTTAACAAATTGGCGAATTGTTGTTTTTCTATGATTTTCGCCTTTCCTTAAATGTTCAACTTGAGTATTTCACAGAAGAGGGCATTTTTTTTAATTAACACCTTTTAGATTTTTCCCTGAATCATTTGTATTTTTTACCGTGCCTATTTTTCCTAAAATGGGCACAAGTACCATTAAAACTATGAAATGCTCCTTAAGCCAGCTGATCTCAAACTATTATTTATTTGGACCCATTTTGAGAAATTTAATTAACTCCCAACCCACCAATCATGAATACAACTGATGTAAGACCAAAATGAGCTGGATGGTTTGTGCGGTATTTTAATTTGTCCGTGTTTTGTACTCTCATCAGGGATGTTAAATTCTCTGGAATACTGCACCCCAGTGAGAGATTCACACTTAAGAGAAAACAGGTACGGAACGGGAGTGCATGAGAGTAGATTATTCTTTTTTTCACTCTCTCTTCGGTGAGAAGAAGAACAGCGCAATTAGGTTATGCTGCGTGACGTCACGAATGAACTCAGCGTTAATCAGCTGAACCTTTTGACAGCTCAGTGGTTCTGTTTACAAGTACATAGTCATTAAAAAAATATTTTAAAAATTCCTAACTTTAACTTGAAAATTGTTGAGGAAATGCGCATTTACATCTCACTGCAGACAGAAAAATTATTGAGAAAAGCTACTCAAGAAAAAATTGAAAAGTCCACGCAAACTGTACCACTGAACTGTCATCAGGTTGAGGTTAACTCCGACGGTGCAAAACCTTATAAGGTGATCCAAGAGACGTTTCTCACCGTTGACATCAGTCAGATATTCGTTAGTTTATAAAAAAAAATAATTCTGGGGTAGTCCCCTCCCAAGTAATATTGCAGGTTTTGACGCGGTTTTATAGAATTCTACAAGTCTAAATCATGGTCTACAGAACCCTCATAAAACCAAAATTGTTACTTGGGCTGGGTAATCCACAAATTATGCAGGAGAATATGGAGAAAAGGGTCTTAACATTTTTACGCTTTCTTATAATGAAGGGAGCAGGTGGTAGGCATTTTATATCATTCGATATTATAGTTAGAAGATTATATTACGAAATGAACATAGAACAAAGTGCTTAATTTAGGCCCATTCATATATTACGTAACGAAAAAGGGTGTCGGGGGAAGTTTGAAAATGCGTTAGGAGCTCATGCAATAATTTGGTACTTTTTTATGGGATTTTCAAACTGTCACGCCTATGGTAAGACTAGGTAATATTGAACAAACCCCCCTCCCCATTTGTTAGATCATACATATAATATTTTCAAGATCTGCATATGCTCGCGCAAGATATTTCTAAGGCCCTCTTCACTCCCATGTTAGACAACATAAAACATATTTAAACACCCCCTCTCCCCTATGTGCTTACGTAATCAATCATTGGGCTCTAAAAGCTATGTAGTAGGTTTACTAAAATTGCGAGATGAGAGGATGGTGTATCCAGGAAATCAATGTTCTCATGTTACATAATATTTGAAGATGTTCTAATATGCATATTTAAGAAGCTTCTTAAGGATTTAGGGGGAAAGGTCAACTAAATAAATATCTTAGTTTCCCAAAAGGGGGGAATTACCACTCAAAAACCTTTACATAATTGGTGCATGACCTCTTACAGTAAAATTAAAACGATATATTAAGCTGAAAAATGCATTAAGTCCTAACCCAACAAACAATTTGAGTTGATCAACTGCTGA